ATTCAGATATTTGACCTCAAGACTTGATGAGTTGGGTGATAATTTTCGAGATGTTCAAGTTCCTTTACTCTGGGAGGTAAATTTTTTTTACAAAATTGACCTTTTATATTCAATCATCATCATCAAATCCATTAGAGTGAGGGCTTGAGAGGCTCAAATTCTCTCTTGCAAAAGCCCTGGACAGAAACCCTGCTGTCTTGCGTAGTGCATAAATGTCGCCATACAGGTCAAGAATTTTGGGTTTCCCAGACCTGTCGAGACGGAGATCAGCAAGTTTGGGGCAGTCAAACAGTACATGAGGCACGGTTTCCTCTTCTTCCCCGCAGTGGGGGCACCGTGAATCAAAATTTGGCCATAGTCGCGAGAAATATTTGCCAACAGGACAGTGGCCTATCCTGCATTGTGCTATAATAGCTTGCTCAGACCTAGACAGCCTCCACCACGGGGAAGTGCGGTCAGGGCGCCTCATGCGCTCCTAGACTCCACAGGCTTTTTGGGACTATATTCAATGCAACATATTGTAATATTTTAAAGCCTTCAGTCATAGGAATTATTCGAAAATTTTTGGGATTCAAAAAATTTCATCTGATCCAGTTTTTCAAACAAAAAATTCCAACTTTCCTCTCAATGTTTCACTGTTACAAAATCAGTCACTATTATTGAATGTTCAGACTGCCTGGACAAGATATAAAGCTAGATACCAAGTGCTAAAAGAAAGCTGTCAAAGTTCTCTCATCTAAATGTACAAACAATTGTACCTTGCATGCATTTTGTCTATATATGCAGTAAAATTCATGTAGTGTAGTTAATTTGTAACATATTTTGTACAAATATGCTCATTCGATGAATTTTAGTAAAGTATTTTTTTAATGTGATTACCTACTGTTTGGTTCCTGTGCACTTGGGATGATCTTTGGGCAGAATCCAGCCTACCATCATCACCTGACACCTTGTAGGATAGTCTTATTTCCAATATTTATATCTTTTACCTTCAAAGAACTTTTATTGTGAATGCTTAATTTTATAATAATGGTATCAGCAGCGCTTGTTGTATTTGTGTATGAATGTATCATATTATTTTTAAAAAATGTCTCTAACCATGCTCTTAACAAAATTTACAGATTGTATAGATATTTGACCAGTCAGAAAAAAAGTGTTTGACATACATTTATTGTAAAATTAAATGTGGCTTCATAATCTTGAAAATGAAAAAGAGAAATGTACACAAAGCACTTATGAATTCAATTCAGTGCATGGCACTCTCTCCTTCCTTCCCACCACTAGACTGCATCAGAAACAAAACAGTTCATTATTATTACAAAGACCCAGTAGCTACTAACTACTTACATTTTTTTTTACATGGTCTATTTTAATCTGTGACTTTTTTAGGACAGCTTGGGCTTTTGAAGGTAGTCATTTTTTAAAGTCTTTTAAACCCAGTTCACAATTCCACTGATAGATAGGAATAAGAAAAGAAACCATAATTCAACCTAGTTCACAATTCCACTGAGAGAAAAGAATTAAAAACGAAACCATTAGATTTTTGTGTTATTTTTGTTTTTACAAAGAATTGAAGTCATCTTCATGACATTTTTTTTCCGCATGACTTAGTCACCAGGTACTGTTATTCATCGAAAATGTTTTTACTACATATATTCTTTATTGACTTCCAGGAGGATCAATTGTATGGCAGCATAAGGACATCAGGAATTTTTCATGGCACTGGTTCTGATTCTGAAGCTGAAGGCAAAAGTAGATTAGAGTGTAAATCAGCTTTGTCTTCAATACAACCTCTGTTACAGGCACACGGTCTTGGTAATTTAGATGCTAAATCAAGAAAGGTACTTTATTTAAAGTTCTAGTTTAGTTATGATTGCAATGTTCTCCTTGCATTTCTTCTTTAATATGATAATATTTCTCCTATTATTTCCACGTACTGAGCTCCAGATGACTTTTATCAAATGAGCTATGAATATTTATCAGCTCTTATATTTATTGTGTACAACTAAAGCAGATGTTTATATATGCTTCTGTAATGTATTGATATTAGCATTTTTTAAAATCAGCCTTGTGTTGAGCAAAATGTCATGTGACTAATATTGGTTCTTTGAAGAATCACAATTTGATAAGGTCATAGGCTATTAGAGTAGGACTGGCAGCTTAAATTTTTAAAGTTTCACTTCAGCCATTATTCTTGCAGTCTTCTTTTTTTTTTAAATTTGGCTTGTAGGACCTATAATAGTAGTGTCAAAAAATAGTTATTGTATAGTTGTCTCTCTCTCTTTCTAAATAATTTTTTCAATTAATATCTTAGGCCTGTTGTTTAAGGTGGTTGTATGTATGAAAAATCCCAAGCTTGTGTAGTATTAGTAATACTTAAGGGGAGGTAGCCCTAGAGAAAATCGAGTTTTAAGTCTAGGATATCGATCTTTAACTAATAACATAATTAAGTAGATCAGTCATTTTTCATTACATTACAATCATTTTTATTGCTTAAATCTGTGTCTAAAACATGTTTTTTTAATGTTTTTGTAAGGGTTATGAGACAAAATCTTAATAAAATGTATATTTTAAACTCATATTTCTCAAAATGTTAGTTTTTGCACGTCATTATGCCTTACAAGGAATTTCTCCTAAACTTCTTGATAGATTTTGATGAAATTTGAAACACTTCTTAAGGACATCATTTACTTTACTGGTACAATGTTGTTTTTTAAATATTTTATTTACTTTTTTTTAAAAAGTATTTTTAATTAATATTTATCCTGTTTTTTTTTTAGGTCTAAAAAATACTAAAAATTAAAAAATTTGTAACAAAATTTAACATACTTATATCTTTAATTCTGACATTGTAACAATTTAGAAGATCCTTTTTTCTTATCTTTTAATTCAATTTCATATATTTCTGATCAATAGTTTTTACAAAATTCAGAGTTTTAATTTGTATACACTAAACAATATGGCCGCCGTTACCATGGCAACCATCATTAAAAAAAAAACTTTCTTTTTAGCATTATTTATTTTAGAATATATATTATATGTTACCATAACAAATTTCAAAGGCCTAGCTTTAGAAATAACAAAAATAAGATTTTCAGGGATACCTCCCCTTAAAACATTTAAATGCTTTTGATTTATAGCTTTTTTTTATTGGCCCCTGGGATTGTGTTTGAATAATTGTTTATAATTGCAAATGGTGTAATGTTTTTTTCTAATGCTATGTACATGAAGTTTTTTCTTTCTTTCTTTTTTTTTTTTTATATTTTTTCTAAGTTGAAAAGGTAAATATTAACCATGAAATTTTTAATTTATATAATCAATAACAGTTGAAACTAGATAAAGAGAAAGACCCTAATGCACCAAAGAAACCAGCCAATGCTTTCCTTATGTTTTGCACCACCCAACGCACATCAGTTCAAGAAGAGTACTTCAAGGTTTGTTTTAAAAAGGAATTGTATTGAAATTATTTTAAATTGTTTTTATTAAAAATATATTACTTATTATTTCATTCAAATTTCATTAAGTTTATTACTATTGGTTCTATTATTTATTTAATTTATTTTTTTTGTTTTGTATGTTGGCAGGAGCATAATGAGGAGATCGCACATCATGAATTGACTAAATCATTAGCACAACAATGGAATGCCCTTGTTCCAGAGGAAAAAAGAGTAAGCATTACAAATTACTTAGGTCTTTATAATATCTTAAGTTAGTCATCCTTAACTCATTAGCTTCTATTGCGACCAAATGCGCCCATCCCCCCTCACTACTAATGCACCCAAATGCGCCCGCCACAGCACACACACAGCGTGACTTGCGTAGCTCTTGTTTTCCTGCTCGATGTGTGGTGTTATTTTGAGCTGGCTGGGTTTTTTAAAAAGTAGAAATATAGATCGTTTCGTTAAAAAAACAGGATGTTTTTACGTCTTTCGCTTCAGTTTCTTTGGGCCTTCAAAGTTTGGTGATTTTTTTTTTTATTTTCTTTAGCTGCGCAGGCCATTTTCTCAATGACCTTTTAACTTTTAGACCATTATCGCAAATAATACACTAAATATAGCTAATAATGAACTTGATATTGATCAAGACATTGATCATTAGAATTTAGCGCTACATTTAGACTTAGATCTAGTCAGATTAAGAGAGAGAGTGAAGTAAACATTAGATCTATCAACTAGTTTAGATACAGATCTGATTGGGGGGGGGGGGGGGGGTGTCACCAGTCTTCAAAAAATGAGGCACTCGAACAAATTTTTGTCTTTACCTGTTGTTTTTATTGTTTTAATCTTGTAAAACCTATTCAAATTATACATCATTTTAGAGGTCTTCCATTTCTCTTTTTTTAGAAGTATTTTTTGTTATTGATAGATGTTGTTTTATGTTTTTTTAAATATATTTTGTAAAGTCCGTCTATTTGTTTTGGAGTTACCTCCCTTTGCTAGGTATTTAGAGAGATGCTGCTTAGGTATGGGCTTAGTAGCTATTGAGTTAATTGTATAGAAATTTTAGAGGTGAGATGATTATACAAAAGATCTAGCATTATTTAATTGAAATGTAGATATAATTATTTAAAATAGGAAGATATAAAATATTGTCTCTCTTTTAGATTTACTATGAAATGTATGAAAGGGAAAAAGAGAGATATGAAAGGGAAATGCGCAGCTATAAACCAAAGCCTGAGCCTGGTTCTGAGGCCAGCACAAGTACAACTGCTGAACCAAGTACTGCAACTAATGAAGCACATAATGCATCAGTGAAAGAAGAATTGGATGTTTGAACCGTAAGCTCATCACTCTTCTCTATGTGCTCATTTAGTTCATTTTTGTGATAGAGATTGATCCCATTTTCTGTCAACAAGTATGTTTCTGTGATCACTGCTGTATGATACAATGGCATTATTTGTTTCTTTCAGTATTACTTGTATATGGATAAACTTTGTATAAAAGTAATTAGCAAAAAGATTCTAGAACAGCAATATCCTCAGCTGACACACAGTAGCCTACATAGTTTTTTTTTTTTTATTCTTGTAACATAGTTGTTTAATATGTTTGTTTCAGAACAATTGAATACCAATTTGTTTAACATTACTAAATAGATTAGATTTAACAAAAATGTATGTTAAGGTTGTTCTTGATACATATATATTTGCATTCTTCTTTAGATGTATTTGTCAACTGAAGTAGGCAAGATAATCCTGATCTTATTTTTAATTTTTATAATAGCTTGGTACATTAGCTTTGATCGAAGCAAAACTGAAGTTTGATGGAGACGAAACAATAATGTAACGCATTCGCTCCAAAATTATTTTCTATGTTCTGAAGGAAATATTCAATTTGATCATTTTTAGTGCACTACCATGTTATGATTAAACTTCAATAACTTGTTTGTTTGTTAGCATAAACTTTTACATAAGATTAAGAATTAATGGGAAATGCATGCCCTTTTAAGTAGTTAATAAAAAAATTTTTTTAGATTAGTTATTTTTATTTTGGATCATGAACATTTAAATGGAAAACTCACCAACTGTTAACAAGTCGACTGTTAACAAGTCATCTAGGTCTTGACAAGAGGTAAGAAATATTTTATAACTCATGTTGAATATTTTTTTTTAATGATATCCATTATGATGTATCCATATTTTCACAAAACAATAAATAACTCATTTGAAAAAACATTAAAGGGAAACCTTGTAAGTATCTAACTTTATGAAATTTGAGCAACTCATTTTAATTACATCATACTCTGTAAAATGTTTAAAAAATCTGAATGCTTATCAAAGAGAAATATTTATGATTTATTTTAAGCTATTTAAACATTGAGGAAAACAGAAAATAAAATGGAAAGAAAGAGTTAAACTTTTGTTGATTGCATTTATAGTTTGTTTGGTTTGCTGTATTAAGATATTACTGACCATTTCATTATGTTTTACTTTTTTTTTTATGTTTGTATTTTTTAAAATAAAGATACAGTTTAACATTTTCTTTTGTTTCCTTTAAAATAATTATTTGTGTGGATGTATGAATGAAATCTATAAAATTGGTGTCCATACATTCTTATATATGCTATAGTAAACTGTAAATGATAGTGCTATGTAACATTCATTATCAATGCTGTTTCCCAGTTCACATAACTAAAACATTAAATTGAACTGCATTAACATTTTTCTATATTTTATTATTAATTTATATGAACAGAATTTAAGAATGGTAGTTATATGTCCCATGGAAGTAAGATAATTTAAGTAAAAAAATTTGGAATCTAATATTGTATAAACTTGAATATTATAAATGGATCCGAACTTACAGTATTTAAAACTCTATAATAACAAACTTTAAATTAAAAATCAGAAAATATTTCAAGCACAGCTTTAGAAAAGACACCATTAAAAAAAAGTAGTTTTGATAAAACATGTTTTACTGGGGGGGGGGGGGGGGGGTGTTGTCATGTTATTTGTGAGATAAATATAAAAACTTGTATTTTACTTTACATCATCTCTAAGAGGTTTTAATTAAGCAAGAATTTGATTACACGCTCAGCGTGTAAATTAAATTCTGAGAAAATCAACATCCAATATAACCCTGGCCTGTAAGACCGAAGACTCTGCAAGGCTACTTTGTGTAAATGCAAGACAGGCTACAAGTACTCAATAATTTATGTTAATTGATTATCCAATACTTTACCCCTTAACCTTCTTCAGTGTCTTATGAATACCCATGTTCTCTACCATGTGTCCCATCAACATCAATTGATTTTAAAAAGTAACAAACTGGATCCTCTTTACATTTTTAAAAAAGGATATTATTTGCCTTAGCCAGTGTCTAAAATGACATCAAATTTGGGACATCCCAAGACACAATCATGATAAGTTATAGATAAACTTAATATATTCCTACTGCTTTACTAGTATCACATTACATATGAGTTATTAAATACCTGACCTAGCCAATTTAAACAAAAAAAAAATTTTTTAAATTTATTTTTAAAAAGTAAAATTTATATACATAATCATACAAAGTATGTCTCATGCTTATAACCCACTTTATTCTTTTAGTATAAAAAAACATATATTTAAAAAATTGACAATGGATTGGTCAAGCATTTTTGGAATTAAATAAAAATATAAAGTTAGTAGAAAACCTTTCTATTTAATACATTAAGTCCTTATAGTAAATATACATCTATTTTTTTTTGTGATTAATGGTTTGGTATGTTATTCGGCTGTCTTTTGAGTCTTACACTATACCTACATAATCAGATTGTTATAGTTTTCAAGTGCCAAAACTATTTTAAATATTTTTATCTGCTCTGTCTATTTAAAAACAAAAGCATTTAGTGGGAGAATTGTATATATATATATATACATAGCAATGCAATGTTTTTCATTTAAAGTTAGTAACCAAATGAAAAAACAGCATATGATCCTCATTTGTTCTTCTGAATTTAAAAAAAAAAAAGTTATTTCTTATAGTTAAAGTTTCATTCACATGAATTTTTTAAATATAAATCATCAGGACTAAATATCTATAACAATTTCATATATATGTTGTATCAAAAATGTATGGTCTTGTTTTGTACATTTTTCTTGAAAGGTTAATTACTGTTCTTGAAAAAGATGACATCTAGACAATGTCAGCCAAATGATTAAATGAAGCAAAAAAAGTCTGAACAGTTGTTTTTTTTTGCCAAATCCTAAATGAATGTTATGAAACAAATTCTATCTCAAAGCCTGATGAATTTCAATGTATAAACTTACCAATGAATAGAATACTCTTTAATTACCTATATAAATCAGTTTGTGTTTTTCAAATAATTCAATATCTCTTTCTAGCTGTTTCATTTGAGCCTCTAGTCTCTCTTTCTTTTGTTTTTTAGGATAAGTATCAGTAACAACAGACAAGCTCTGGTACTGATCTTGAATATCTTCCCAGTTGGCCTTCAAACCATCTAAAATTGCTTGCCGCTCATCTTCAGATAATTGTCGCAAAGCACCACGTTTAAAATTTTCTGCAATATATTGATCATATTCTTCTTGTGCACGTTTGATTTCCTCCTTTCTCTTCACCAAATATGTTGGTACTTCTCCAAAATCCTATTTAAAAAAAAAGAACAAATAAAACAAAACATTCAATGCAAGAAAACAAAAAAAAAGATTGATTGACTATTAGTAAAAGCAACAGTTTTACTTTTTTATTTTCTAGTCAGTTTTTTGCTGCTGATCTGTAAAGCTCTGTTGCAGTTTGTGTTTGGAAAAATAGCATGTTGAACTTCTCAGTCACTCTACATGACTATGCGGAATGTTGGTTATGTTAAAACATTACTAGAAGGCCATGCTTACTTTGTGTTTTAGAATTGTTTATCACAGTCTTTTTTCTGTAGTAGCCAAAACAAAGATTTGGTGACAAAAATGATAAATAGGAAGTCTTACTGCCTCCTCAATCATATGACATAGATTTGTTGGTGGCTTTAAATTTATTACACCTTGAATATTACCATACAAAGATTTTTCTAGATCCTTTTCATCATTTTCCCATGCACAGGGCAATGTGACCTGAATAATATGGACAGTTGACTTACTTATGGTTAGTTGTTATTGTGTGCTGTGGAGCATGAGATTATACACACACACACACAGGTGACATATACTAATATCACACCTGTATAAGAAAGGGATAACTAAAGATAAAAATTACTATAATCATTTTTAGGTATGGAGTAATAGAATAAGAGTAATGACAACTTCTGAAGAATATCAGATTTCAAGAGTATTTCCTATTCCAACCAGTTTTATTAACAAACTATTAGGGGAAAGAACTGAGAGCTTGACCATTGCTCTTGTATCATGATTCATAAACTTTAAACCACAAAAGAAGTTGACTTTACTTCTGATGCCACCAATGAGGATAATATTATAGTGTTTAGTTTTGATTGAAGGTATACATTGACTTACTTTCTTGTGGACAAAAATAGGCTCAAAACCAGATGGTATTAGCTCATGTGTGTCTCCGTGTCTTGTGTCTACAAACTTTTTCACAGGGACTTTAGGAACTGATGTTATGTTCTCTACAGCATTTGTGTTAATAAAATTCTTGGTTGTTTTAAGGCCCATCAGAGGAGTTTCATCTTTTTTAGGGACTGCTGGCTTTTTGCGATCCTCACAAGCATAATGAAATTCTTCCTCTGATTGAAATAGAAAATATTTATTTTTCTTATTCAAGATACAATATATTTTTTACATTTTCTAATTTCTGATATTTATTACAATTTAAGAAAACATCTTACTTTTGGGTAACTGAGGTTCTTTCTCATGTTTTTTCAAATACTCTGTAGGCTGAGGAGGTGGCACTTTTGCTGGCCCCATAGTTTTGTAAGTGTCTCTCCCAGCAACATATTCTTCTTTCACTGTTTCTCTAAATTTTGAAGTGTGCCTACACCAATTTCGAAAGTAATTTATTTCAAAATAATAAAGCAAAATCTTAGTGAGTACTGCTTATTGTATGGTTATTTTTTTCAAAACACAAAAGGACACCTTTTTATGCCAAATATTTGTAATGCTCAATTTCTCCTTTATATAAAGAACGCTAAATAATTAATATCAGTTCAATAAAAAAAAATGTAATACAAATTTGAAACTATGTTTAAAATATTGAACACATATAATTAGAAAGATATCTTGACCTAAGATTCAAGCATTACAGTTTAATAATAAGCTTTCTATATAGAAAAATGTCAACCAAATTATTTAAAATAATATATTTGTTTTTGCATAACAAAAAAAAAATTAAAAAAAACAAACAATGAAACAAATTGTACACAAAAAAAAGGCTATATAAATATTAGATCACTAAGCCTAGAAAAGTTTTACCTAGAACTAAAGATATCTAGATAAACATATAATAAACTGTTTATTCCTAGATATTACACATTGTTTTGGTTCTGAAAAGCCATAAAAGTACTAGAAGTTTATAGCTTGAAAACAGTGAAACTTATATATAATCATCTTAAATCAAAATTTGCCTCTCATGTATGGTGGCACAATTTACTTTATAGACATTTAAACAACGAAAGAATGTTTTAAAATTACATTATTGAAACGTTTTCTATTGATTTTACTTTCTTTGAATATGAATGCTACTGATTAATAGGGTTGTTTGGAGTGTGTGTGTATGTGTATGTTTCTAATGACTGATGAATGCTGATGAAGAATTGATACAGATGAGTAGATAAAAATGGGTAAACGGCTATTGAAAGTCAGAGAGAAGAGACTGAACCATGTGTGTTTATTGCATGTCAAAAGCAGAAGTTTGAAATGAATTAAAGTGTAACTTTGAATCATTTGACATCTTGTTCTTTCATTTGTGTTTTTACACAAAATGAAAGCTGTAGTTATTTGTGAATAAAAGTTATTTAAGATGTTTTTAATTTAGTATTTTAAGAACATGTTTAAAAAAATAATAATCTTTAAAGAAATCTTATTTTCATTTTTACTGACATAAGGAAGAATTTATTGAAGAATATAACAAACAAATAAAAATTCTAATTAAGCTTTGCTCTATAATATAGCTGGTATAATGTTGATAATTAATTTTAAAATTGAAGATATTTAGGTTATGTATATATTAACTGCATTCTACATATATGGTCTTAAATCAAAGTAGGTCTAACATTGGCCTTATGCCTACAGATGTATAGTTATGCACAGTATGATTGCCAAATCAACTGGTTGATATGGAGCATGTTAATATAGACCATCGAGTCATCTTTAAAAAAAAAAGATATCTTATCAGTTAGGATGTTACAATATATCTTATTATAAGGATTTCAGAAAAAAAAGTCCTAATAAATATAATGTGCATATTTATAGAGAGAGTCTGATGGGCGAAAATAAGTTATAGATGTTTGCTTTTTAATTTGGTATTATACGTCTGATGCTATTGTAGAATTCAGAAAAGAATATATTAGCACTACAAAAAAGAGACATGCTTATACTTATATATTATTAGATGAAGCTCTAGTTTATAATAAGCTATTAGGCTAGGATATAAATATAGATATCAAATTAGAAATGATAATTAAAATCAGACCCAGTGAACATACAAACTATAGATAGTAGGCCTATAGATTTATATTGAGAATTGAGTATATATTTGTATATACATTTAATACATCTATATATAGATTCTAGATCTATTCTATAATAGTGTCAGATGTCTAGATCTATTTTTTTTTTATTATAGTTATAATGTAGATCTAGTAGTTAGTCGTATCTTATTCTATTAGTATAATAGTATAGATTTAATAGATCTCAAATCTAGGTATAGGCCTAGACAGTTCAACTATATTATATATCTAGTCTATTAGTACTGTAACTAGATCTAGTATATATATACATATAGTATACAGCAATATATTATATAGCCGATTATAGCCAAAT